GGCAAAAAAGTATTTAGTCAGCCACCAATTGTACAGGTTCTCCCACTTAAAAAGATGAGAGACACTGCAGGATTTGAGTCCCTGGCGGCATAGTGTGTTACTGATGGTAGCACTGCAGGATTTGAGTCCCTGGCGGCATAGTGTGTTACTGATGGTAGCACTGCAGGATTTGAGTCCCTGGCGGCATAGTGTGTTACTGATGGTAGCACTGCAGGATTTGAGTCCCTGGCGGCATAGTGTGTTACTGATGGTAGCACTGCAGGATTTGAGTCCCTGGCGGCATAGTGTGTTACTGATGGTAGCACTGCAGGATTTGAGTCCCTGGCGGCATAGTGTGTTACTGATGGTAGCACTGCAGGATTTGAGTCCCTGGCGGCATAGTGTGTTACTGATGGTAGCACTGCAGGATTTGAGTCCCTGGCGGCATAGTGTGTTACTGATGGTAGCACTGCAGGATTTGAGTCCCTGGCGGCATAGTGTGTTACTGATGGTAGCACTGCAGGATTTGAGTCCCTGGCGGCATAGTGTGTTACTGATGGTAGCACTGCAGGATTTGAGTCCCTGGCGGCATAGTGTGTTACTGATGGTAGCACTGCAGGATTTGAGTCCCTGGCGGCATAGTGTGTTACTGATGGTAGAATGGGGCCATGTATCGTGAGATTTTGAGTCTCTCTCATCTTTTTAAGTGGGAGAACTTGCACAATTGGTGGCTGACTAAATACTTTTTTGCCCCACTGTATGTTAACATTTAGTAAATTTATAAACTGCACTTTATTTATTTATTCATACAATTTAAAATCTATTTTTTATTATAAATGCATCCCAATGTGGGAGCGGCTTTGGCTTCACATAACAGTGAAGCCAAATAAAATGTTATCAGATTAAAACCATAAAACAAGTCAGCAACAAGTAATCAAAGAGATGGAACACAGTAGCAAAGATTAAGCCAAAACTTGGGGTAAACAAATAGATTTTCAATTAATACTAAGATTTTACAAAATTACAAATTATATGCCACCCAGAGTTGTTAGAAGTCACACAGCATATAAAATTGATAAATAAATGAATAAGATTTGCAACAACTCTGACAGCAAAGGGAAGGAATTCTAAAGACAAGGCACCTACTGTATATCAAGACCTAGTCCTCATTTGGATTGCTGAATAGCCTGCAAAACAGGCACCTTCAAGAGCTCTTTAGTAGTGTGTAACTGATTGGTCAGATATAACAGAAAGCATGATTCATTTGCTTTTTTAGTCCTAAACCAACATTAGATAGCCAGCCCATGAGCAATCTTTCTTATAACCTCAGACTGCCATATGAAATTTGGTAACAAAGTAATTGAGATTAGGCAGCATATATTTTCCCTTTGAGTGTGTGTGAGTTTTTCCCAAAAGTAAGGGCATGGGGTTTCAGAAAGGCAAACCACTCCTATTACCACCCTTAATCCACCTCCAAAGTCTGAAAAACAAGCTAAAATTGTGCATCCCTGAGGCCTCCCATCATCATTCATAACCATGAACCACCACCTCAAACCATACAAAATGGACCAACAAATGGCACATTTGCCAATACAATTCCCGTGGTACAGACGTCTCGAGGAACATCCTGGAACATCCTGAAGAATTCACCCATTTTGGGAAAGGAGTGAGGGAAGATTAATTAAAGAAAGGGTCAAAAGAAAATGAAATATAGGAGACAAAGTGAGTAAAGAGAAAAAGCCAGCAGGAGTTTCCCTGAGGAAAGAAGAGTAACTAAAGAAGCTGTGTAGTCTGAGGAAATGGCAATGAGCTTTGTGGGCTGAAAAGATTATGTCCTGGATAACTGCTGATTGCAAGAAGTACTATATGTCCTGAGAGCTGGTCATTGCACACTGTGGGTAATTGGTGACAGTGTCCTGCTGTAATAGGAATAGGAATAGAAGGCAGATTGATTCCAGGGAGTGACGTCACTGAGTGAGTAAAGAGGGAGAGCTAACAAGAGTCTGAGCAGTGAATGCTCTGAGCATTCAAAGGGGAAAAAAAAGAAATAATGCAGAATAGCAGACATGATGGTAAATCTCTAAATTATCCCTTCTCACTGATACATGTGGGGACAAATGATACTACAAAGAATAATTGTAACACCAGACTTTGAACATCTCAGAAGACAGAAACTTAAGGCTCACGTGAATTTCATCCATCCTTCTACTCTACCAAAAAGGACTGAAAATGGAAAGAAAATACTGTAGATCAATGCAAATGGGGTCAATTGGAGAAATTTGGGTTCCTGACCATGGCCTGAATTATAAACTTGATAGAGTGCTGGCATGAGAACAATTGTACCTCACAGGGACTAGAAAAAATGTGTTTGGCCAAAGCATGGTAAACTTGTTTAGGAGGGCTTTAAACTGAATCTGGTGAGAAATAAAAATTAAAACCATGAAATAAGGACTTGGGACTATAAAAAGTTGGAGTGTTGCTGAAATTGGGCACCTTAAATCACTCAGATAAAAATCAAAAAGATAATTAGGTCATTATGTTCATGGCCTTCATTGTCACCATACAAATGCTCAGAGAATGGGAAATAAACATGATGTGTTTGAGCTCTAAATACAGAAAGGCAAGTATGATTTAGTAAGGGAGATCTGATGATATACATCCCATGATTGCATACAGCAACTGAAGGATACCATTTGTACAAAGGAAAGGAAACAACAGAGGAGTTACACAGTATGTTAAAAATATAAATTCCTGCTCAGAAATCCATATAAATGAATTTTGCAACTTTGTAGAGAGTATCTGGGTTAAACTAAATGAAAGGACAAATAAAAGCAATATTGTTGGAGCTCACTATCACCCTCCTAGCTTAGGACAAAATGTAGATAATGCCTTCCTAAAGCAAACTGTAGATCTTTCATAGAAGCATGCAATAATAGTAAGGGGAAACTTTAATTACTCTACTATCTGCTGGGAAACAAGCTCTACATAATTCCTGATTTGTCTTATTGTCAATTTTCTTTTTAAGAGGGTACAGAAATACATAAGAGGATCAGCAGTGTTGATATCACTCAATAGGAAGAATTATTGAATTAGCAGAAATAGCAGAAACACTGAGGAAAACTGACATGACCACGTAATGCTCAAGTTCTAGATTTTAAGGGACACTTAAACTGAGAGTATTCAAATGCATCTTCTTCTTCATCATCATCATCATCATCATGACAACAACAATGAATCATGCCCTTCATCCACATAGTGACATTGACAGACTCTAC